CTTTGAACTATCTAGGTATCTAAACTCATGAAAGCACTCTCTAGAGCAAAGTGAGAGTGAACTCTATTAAACTGTTGATGTCAGTTAACACTTGATGTAAGAGAAGCACAAAAAATTAATAATGGTGCAACATAGTTGAGTTAGAATATCCCTGATAGAAACACAGCTACAATTAGAGTAGTAACTGAAAAAGTAGTTGGAAATGTCAAGTAGACTGTCACCACAGTCCTTCAACAAGTAAATGTTATTCCATATATGTTACCAACACTCTGCTTTTCATTTAAGTTGTTTGTTCCTGCAACCTGTCCATTTAATGTTTATTTTCTCATTGGTGTCTCCAGTTTAATGTCTTTAGTCTCCAGTTTAATGCACTGATGAAATATCCAATTTTCATCATTCAGGCTCCTTCATTTATTATCAGACTTCAACGACCTATGCTCTAATTTTAACTGTGGTTTGACATGTAAAATAACTATCTAATTTGAAATTGCTACTTACATCTAGGATAGACATTTTTAAATGACAGGAGGAGTAACTGATAGTACAGGATGACATATGGACAATGAAAGTAAAAATCTTGGCTCAGAGGAACTGGAAATAGGATAGGTGTGTGTGAAATGTAGAATAACAAGGTTCAGAAAACCAAAAGAACTGCGGATGCTGTAAATCAGGAGCAAAAACAAAGTTGCTGGAAAAGCTCAGCAGGTTTGGCAGCGTCTGTGAAGAAAAAAACAGTTAACATTTTGGGTCCGGTGACCCTTCCTCAGAATTCTAGTTCAGAGATCATGTAGTGCAACAAAAGATTGACAATGCTTATCTAGGCTTTGAAAGGTAGCGCAGGTACAAGAGCTGTCTGTTAATTCCTGTTATTTTCCAGAAGTGGCAAGTTTTTCTGGAAAAGGTGGAGCTGGAATCAGACATGACGGACACCATAGGGGCAGGGTAAATAGTTAGTGATGTGAGTTTAGCAAGATATGGCAAGAAAACCCAAGAGGCCTCATGGTGAAAAACAATTCAAAAACCCAATGCAACTTGCACTTAGCCGAACAACAATAATGTTGAGCCCCTCGTGATTTTCCTAAATTCTGTAAAATTAACCTCAATGTTTGTAAGTTGGCAAGTGTAACAGCCCAATAAAGAGGAAGAAAGAAGACATGCAACTACGTGCCAGTTAGCCTGACATCTGTTGTTAGGAAAATGCAGGAATCTATTTAAAAAGCCAACATGGTTTCATGATGGGGAAATTGTGTTTGGCAAATTTCTTGGAGTTCTTTGACAATGTAGCTAGTAGGGTAGCTGTTCCAGTACAATTACAACACTGGCATCTACCCAACAATCTGGAAAATTACCCAGGTGTGTCGTGTACACGAAAAGCAGCACAAATCCAACCTAGCCAATTTCTGTCCCATCAGAGACAAAAACAAAAGTTGCTGGAAAAGCTCAGCAGGTCTGGTAGCATCTGTGAAGAGAAATCAAAGTTAACATTTCGGGTCCGATGACCCTTTCTCAGAACTCAGAACTGTATTGTGAGGAAGGGTCACCAAACCTGAAACGTTAACTTTGATTTCTCTTCGCAGATGCTGCCAGATCTCCTGAGCTTCTCCAGCAACTTCTGTTTCTGATATACAGCATCCGCAGTTCTTTCAGTCCATCAGTCCATTCTCTTTCATCAGTAAAGTGATGGAATGTGTGATCAACAGTACTATCAAACAGCACCTGCTCAGTGATGACGAGTTTGGGTTCCGCCAGGGCCACTCAGCTCCTGACTCCATTACAGCCTTGGTGCAAACATGGACAAAAGAGTTGAATTCCAAAGGTGAGATGAGAGTGACAGCCCTTGACATCAAGACTGCATTTGGCCACATTGGCGACAATGAAGTAGTGGTGGTATATTTCCAAGTCAGGATGTTGAGTTATTCGGAGGAGAACTTACAGTTGGTCGTGTTCCCATGTAACTGCTGGCCTTATTCTCCTAGATGGTAGTGGCCGTGCCTAAGGAGCCTTGGTGAATTTCTGCAGTGCATCTTGTAAACAGTAGACGCTGCTGCTGCTGAGCGTCGGAGGTGATGGGAGTGAATGTTTGTAGATGAGGTGCCAATGAAGCGGGCTGCTTTGTCATCGATTATGTTAAGCTTCTTGAGTATTTTTGGAGCTGCACTTATTCAGGCAAGTGGTGAGTATTCCATCACACTCCTGACTTGTGCTTTGTAGATGGTGGACAGGCTTTGGGGAGTCAGGGGGTGAGTTACTTGCTGCTGCATTCCTAGCCTCTGCCCTGCTGTTGTAGCTACTGTAATTTATGTAGTTCATCCAGTGAGTTTCTGGTGAATGATAGCCACTAGGATATTGATGGTGGAGGATTCAGTGATGCCATCGCCCAATTGAATGTCAAGGAGAGGTGTGTAGATTGTCTGTTACTAGATATAGTCATTGCCTGGCATGAATGTTAATTGCCACTTGACAGTCCAAAATGGATATTGTCCGGATCTTGGTGTTTTTGGATGTGGACTGCTTCAGTATTGAGGACAAATGGTGCTGAACAATGTGCAATCATTGGCGAACAACCCGCTTCTGATCTTATGATGGAGGGAAGATGCTTGGGCCTAGGACACTATCCTGAGGAACTCTTGCAGACCTGTCCTGGAGCTGAGGTGACTGACCTCCAACAACCACAGCCATCTTCCTATATTCCAGGTATAACAAGTTGGCATATAGATACAGGAAGCAGTTTGGAAGGCACATTGCATGTTCACCTGTATTGCAATAGCATTGAAGTACAAAAATAATAAAGTCTTACAATTGTATAGAGTTTTGATGAGATCGCATGTGGAGCACTGTTTTGAACTTCAATTCTAAGGGAAAATATATTTGTCTTGGCCACGTATAACTAAGGAACATACAAGATCAAGGTCATGCAAAGACTAGAACACACCAACCTCCCCTGCATTCAACCTAAACTGTGGACCCGGTACGTAGACGACACATTTGTAATTATTAAACACAACAAATTAGAAGAGACCCACCACCTCATCAACAGCGTATTTGTAGGGATTAAACTCACAAGGGAAGAAGAAAACAACAATCAGCTTCCGTTTCTAGATGTTAAAGTTGAGCGTATAACCAGCGGGGAGTTCCAAACCTCAGTATATAGAAAAGCAACCCACACTGATCAAATCCTCAACTCCCAAAGCAACCACCCCAATGTTCACAAACAAAGCTGCATTAGGGACACTATTTAAATGGGCCAGGACACACTGCAACACTCCGGAACTACACAGGAAAGAGGAAGAGCTATAAACAGATATCCCCGCAACTTCATCTGCAGATGCTTACTAAACAGACAACAACAGGAGGACACAGTATGCCCTAACACACTGGCCACACTGCCATACATCAAGAACATATTGGAACTGACAACGAGACTCCTAAGATCACTGGGAATCATGGTAGCACACAAGCCCGCAGCCACTCTACGACGAACACTTAAGAATTAAAAACCCCAATCCCACAACATGCAGAACCAACATGGTTTACAAAATACCATGCAACGACTGCCACAAACATTACATCAGACAGACAGGAAGGAAACTAGCCATCAGAATACATGAGCATCAACTAGCAGCAAAATGGCACGATGAACTCTCCTTAATATCAGTACGGTCTGACAATGAAAGTCATCAGTTTAACTGGGACAACGTAACCATAGTAGCCTAAGCCAGATCCCTAGAGGCATGGTTCCCCATCCATAATGCAATCAACAAACACATAGATTTGGACCCCATGTACAAACCCATACAGATTTAAATTGGAAATGACACTTGTCACCATAATGGACCAAACAGTATAAGTTCCAAGCGGAGTAGAATAACACCGCTTCATCGGAGGCTCCACTGATGATGTCACCTAGTATGGTGACAAAATGTCTGAACCAGAACAAGCCAGCTCGACGAGCAAGTCAACAACCTCAACATACAAGATTCTGAAAGGGCTTGGTGGTGTAGATACTGAAGTTTGCTTACCCAAGCTGGAAACCTAGAACACGGGCATAGACTCAGGATAAGGAATCAATCACTTAGGACTGAAATGAGAAGAAATTTCTTCATTCAGATGGTTATGAAACCTTGGATTTCCCTACCCTAAGGAATTGTGAATTCACCAACATTGAGTACATTCAAGACTGAGACAGACAATTCCTCGATATCTCAGGGAATCAAAGGTCATGAGAGGGACATAGGAAAATGACATTGAGGCAGAAAATTATCCATAATCGTATTAAAAGGCACAGCTGGCTCAAAGCGTTGGATGATGTACTCCTTTATCTTATATTTTTATGTTTGAACATAAATAATTTCTGAGTGATTGTTTCTCAATGGTATCTCTCTGCTCCCAGGGAAATTAGCTATCCCGGGGAGGTTGACAAAAAAGGTTTCTTTGCTTTGCACGAGAGATGTGCTTTCTAAGTCAGGTACCTTGGAAAAAAGTAGGATCTGTTACCTGTTGAATGCAAGTACTGACTGATTCTTGGCTGGTCAGTAGCACCTGACGTAAAAGAATCAGTATCGTAGAGAAAGGTTCTTCAAGCAATGTGTCCACATCTTTCCCAGCTAGTCCATATGATCGTGAACAGTGGGTGCTTGTTGGATAGAACATTGAAATGTTTTTACCTTCTTTTAAAAAGCTGTTGCCCCCTGTAAATAATTTCCCTTAGACAGTGCCCTAGGCCAGTAGTGAAGTGGGGGGAACAGGAACGGTTCAGCAATTTCTGGAGGATGATAACTCATAGTATGTCTCAGTTACTTCTCAAATTGCTGGAATTTTGTGTGACTTAATAATAACATTGTTGATAATGTATCATTGTTATGCAGCAATTTCTCAGCCTTTTCAGACCCATGATGTACTATTTATATTTAGCATTGCTCAATATTTTCTACTGTACAAGTAATTACTCATGTGTAATATAACTTATGAATCATATATTTGTATATTTATTGAAATGGCAGGTTTTGGTAGCTCAACCTGAAGGCACATTTTTGACTACATTAATTGCTAAGGATCCAGATGTTGGAAAAAATGGTACTGTTTCTTTTTCCTTATTAGGTAAGAAAGTTTGAGAAAATGATCTTGCATGGTTAATTCGTATTGTATTTTGCTTATTTTTATTGCAAGTGAACTAATTTTAATAAGTTAATAGCAGATATTGCATTGGTGTTTCAGTGTTATTTGTTATCATTTTATATGTACACTTTGCATTGAAGCTGCAATATGATTTTTTTTGTTTCATACCTTGTCTGCAAATTTTAGCATCTTTTTGAAATCTTAACCATGAACATTATGCATTAATAAAATTATGTAATCAAATTCTAACAATAGAATTGTATAAATGAGAATAGAGGCATACCAATCTGTCCATCACCAAGACATCAAGATCAAATAACAATAAAGTGATTTCTGTTGAGGAGAATTCCTAAGAGATGCTTTGATATTTGAGAACTTCGCTCAATTTTATTTGTTGACATCAGTAATGAAGTATGTGAATGAATAGACAAGTTTTTTTAAAAAGTTCTTACTTTAATGCTTTTTAATTCCAGAAGATTATTCACATAGCTTCAAAATTGATGCCAAAACTGGAGAACTGCAAACGGCCAGGGTTTTCACGGACAATCATGCATCACATCATAAAATTGTAGTGATGGCAAGTGATGCAGGAAGCCCTCCTCTTCAACAGATTGCAGAAGTTAACATACAGGTACAGGAATTCAAAGGCTAGGTATTATATGAAATAAATTTTAATTTGTTGTTAGGTGGAGAAAACATTTTCTGCTTCGGTATCCTGGGAAGTGTGCCTTATTTCTGTTGCATTTCATGGCAAACTAAGTCTTCCGGGAAAAGTTTTGAGAATTATGCAATATGTATAAAAGGTTTTGTGATGAAAGTTGATGACTAAAAATGTAAAACCTCTGTACTTACTTAAGTGTTTAAAATTAGAATTACTGTATGAGAAACAGAATAAATTAATCTGTTTTCTTGGACCTTTTCTCAGGTTATCCCTAGAGTCATAGAAAATCAGACAATTCACAATAATCGAAGGTATTTTGCCATACCTGAAGGTTTAAGACCTGGAAAAGTTGTGGGTTCCGTCAGTTCCTATGATCATCATTTGCTGACCAGCCAGAAAGTACATTACTACATTGATGAAGATGATGACCACTTTCCATTTGAAGTTGACAGTATGACAGGAGAATTGTACCAAAGCCAAGAACTAGACTACGAAGAAGTTTCTCATTATTTGCTAAAGGTTATAGAAGAAGATAATTGGCACATCCCTTCAAAGAATATTTCTATTTTTGTTAGTATTAAAATAGAAGACCAAAATGATCACTCACCATGGTTTAAAGATGATGTTGTTGTGATTGGAATTCCAGAAAATCTTCCCGTCGGTTCTCTTGTTCACATATTTAATGCAATTGATGATGATGGAAGTGGGCCAAATAGTGATCTCCAATATTCTGTTATGTCCTGGAGTTCCATGGAAAATCCTTTTTACATAGATCCCTATCAAGGATGCTTAAATACGATATTGCCAGTTGACCATGAAATGAGCAAAACTTTTTTTCTAACAATAACAGCAATGGATCAAGCATTAGATGTAAATGAACGCAAGGTAGGCTTGGTGACAGCTCAGATTATTGTCTTGGACGTAAATGATAACAAACCTATATTTTTATCAGAAAATGTTTCCTATGTAATGGAAGATGAGGAAGTGGGATATCTGGTCCATCATATTATTGCATTTGATGCAGATTCAGGAGAAAATAGAAGAATTTCATATGCTGTCATCTCAGGGAATGAAGACAACACTTTCAAACTTGATGAATCATCAGGTATTAAAACTTTAGTTTGTCATTGAATTTTGCTGAACTATGGTATGTGGCAACAGAGATAAAGAAAACTTCTGTTTTTTCCTGCGTATTTTAATAGGTGTGCTGACATTGGTCTCCCATCTAGACCATGAAATGCAAAAATCCTATACCCTCACAATTTCAGGATGGGACAATGGACTTCCGGTTCAGTCCTCAACGCAGATTCTGACGGTGATTATTGTTGACATCAATGATGAAGCACCAAAGTTCCAAGAATCTGTCTATGATGTTGGAATCCCTGAAAATCTTAATGTGGGAACATATGTTGTTAAGGTTGAAGCTTTTGATGGAGATTCAGGTAAACGTCACTTCTGGTTAATCTAGTTTTATTCTTTTTCTTGTTTAGCTACAGAGCAATTAAACCTAAATTAAAATAGCAAATCATTTTAGGGCAATATGGGAAGGTAAACAGCAACAAGCATTAAGCAGTAACTTTGTAGAGACTATGGTGTTTTTTTCAACTTCATGGACTATCATTTATGTTTGATTACTCTGATTAAATCATTTGTCATTCTAAAAGAGGAAGTAGTGGTGCAGTAATGATGTCACTGGACCAGTGCTCTGGAACTCCTGGCTGATGTTCTGGGAACATGAGTTTGAAGCCCACCAGAAGGAAGATGGTGTAATTTGAATTCAGTAAAAATCTGAAATTAGTGAAGGCCATCAACAACAGTCAATTGTTGTAAAAGCCTATCTGGTTCAGTAATGTTTTTAGGGAAGGAAATCAGTCATCCCTGCCTGGCCTAGCCTACATGTGACTCCAGACCCACAACACTGCATTTGATTTGTTAATTGTAATATGGACAATTAGGATTGGTCAATAAAAGTAAAGTTGTCACAGCCCTACTGGACCCTAGGGCTGCTCGCTCAGAAGAGAGAGACGACTGATAGTAATTTAATCTGAGGGTCATCATACCTTGGGCAAGGGGAGAGGTCAAGAAGGAGAGTCCTTCATAATAACCTCAGCCAGTGCTGGAATTGAACCTACACTGTCGGTGTCATTCTGCATTGCATCCAGCTTTCAGGCCAACTGACCTCCAAAGTAAAGTCAACACAGTCCTACTGGACTCTCAAGCTACTCTCTCATTAGAGAGGGAGGGCTGGTGGTCATTTAACCTGAAGGTCACATCATCTTAGGTGACAGGAAAGGTTGAGAAGGAGAGCCCTTCATGGTAACCTTAGACTTTGCAGGAATTGAACACACGCTGTTAGTGTCGCTTTGCATCATATACCAGCCATCCAGCCAACTGAACTAACCCGATCCCCCAGATGGGCAATAAATGCTGGTTTATTCAGTGAGGCCCACATCCCATGAAATAATAAAAAAACAGCTTTAGTAATTTCTCACCTAAGTTTTATTTATGGATAGAGTATATAATTAATAAAAGGCCAATACGGTGCCGTAATCTTCAATGTGAGTGCAAATTTGCAGTGGTTTTGCGGCTTCATTAAGTCTTCTGTTGAAAATTAAACAAAACTTTACGTGCTATATATATATTATATATATATACTCATTTCAAGAAAGGTATTGAGTTGTATTAATGCTTTAAAATGCAACACATTTATTATCATTATAGTAAGTATAAAATTATGACTTATGTTTAATTCCAAATAAACTAGAATTACACATTATACTGCTTCTTGGGAAGTGAAGTCAATTAGTACTAATTGATTTCTTTTGAGCCAAATGAATAGTTTTGATATGGAGAAACCAGTGATTAACGACAAGTTTGTTTCCTGAGCCCTACTAAAGCTAGACATTTGGACATTGTGTTTCTCTAGAAGGAACAAAAAACAAACAACATTCAAAAGGGTATTAAGATAGTCTTTAATGGTCCTAACCGTTAGCAACAAAGAAAGATTCCAGGTAAGGGATGGGGACAAATAAGATTGCATTCTACATGAAAATTCAACTGATTAAAAGCTGGGAGAGACTTGCAATTGTTGCCTGCTGATTTATTTGACTTTTTTTAATTCATTCATTTATTCATGGGAAGTGGTCATTGCTGCCTGATTCAGCATTTAATGCCCATCCATAGTCCCATCTATTGGAACTCGGGTGTGAGCTGCCTTCTTGAACCAGTGCAGTTCACTTTGTGTAGATCGAACTATAATGCGGTTATGAAGGGAGTTCCAGGCTTTTGATCTAGTGGTACTTAAGGAATAACGAGATATTTCCAAGTCAGGATGGTGAGTGGCTTGGAGGTGAATTTGCAGGTCGTGGTATTTGCCTGTATCTGCTGTCATTGGTCCCTGTAGTTTATAGTGGTCATGCCTAAACCTGGATATTGTCCAGGTCTTGCTGCACTTGGGAATGGACTGCTTCAGTATCTAAGGAGTTGCAACTGATGCTGATCATTGTGCAAACCTCAGCGAGCATCGCCATTTCTGACCTTAGATAACTGGACTTTCACTGATGGAGCAGCTGAAAGTGGGTGGGCCTCAGGCTACTATCCTGAGGAACTCCTGCAGAGATGTACCAGAGCTGAGATGTGTGACCTGTAAAACCGCAGGCTGTTTTATCTGTGTCAAGTATGATTCCAACTTCTGGAGAGTTGGAAGTACTTTGAACAAGGTAATTAATAGTGAAAATCTCAGGAGTGGGAGGGGTAGAGAGGGAGGCAGGGGACTGTGTGCACTAGATTGCCCATTTGAGTTAAATGTTTAGTGGAACCTTTTGAATGCAAAGCATTTTTGGCCAAAACAGACAGGAGGCAGGTGTTTACTTTGCAAATTGGGCTCTGACTCAAGCTGGAGATAAAACTTTTGAATATTTTAAACCCAACCCAATTAGTTCTTCTCAGGAGGCATACTGGTCACTGAACTCTTTAAGGAGGTGAGACAACCTGATTTTAAAGAATTTTATTTTTAACCCATGAATGCAGAGATTCCAATGCCTCAGAAATCAGAAGGCAGCACAAGCTGTATCCATGAGGTAACTGTATTAGAAAAAACACAGATTGTGAACCAGAAGGAACAGGAATTTTCCCCCGCTCCCCAAATTTAACTTCACGGACTCAATGATCAGATCCTTGATCTTTGAGATTTCTACTCCATTATGATATTTAAATACACAGTCTACAGTCTCCACCTTTTCCTCTTACTCTACCCCTTCACCCACCCCATGATCTCCTTGTTTTCTAGCCTCTGCTCCTCAGCTCCTTTCCTGATTGAATGATAAGTTTGTTAAGAAAATTAAATGGGTGCCCCATGGTTAATTTCAACAGGACATTTGGAATACCTCTGCTTTTAAGCTGGGTTTGCCATCTAGAAATCATTACATTTGCTCTCTTAACAGCCCAAATAATTGAAGTGGAATTTACAGGCATTAGGGAGGCATTTGGTGAAGGAAAGCAGGATTCCCACTGGATGCCCACCTTATTGAAAGGTTTGACTTCCTGTAAGAATGTAAGAACAAAAGAAATGAGAAAAGAAGTCAATCATTTGTCTCCATGGCCCAGCTGTGCTGTTCATTGTGACCGTGGCTGACTTTCTACCTCAATTCCATTTTCCTGCCTGTTGCCTAAATCCCTTGATTCCCTGAGAAATTAAAATCTATTTATTCAAGTCTTAAATGTGCTCAAAAATCGGACATCCATAATTCTCTGGGGTAGATAATTATAAAGAATTACAACTCTGGGAGGAGACATTTTTCCTCCTCAATCATGAATGATTGACCCCATATCCTCAGGCCCTGCCCCAGTTTTCTCCATTCGCCAGTCAGTGGAAACAATCTCTCTGTGTTTGCCATATCAGGACCCTTCTTTATGTCTCAATGGAATTATCTCTCATACTTCTAAACTGAAGAGGGAGTGGGCCAAAGTTTATGTAGCATATAATCACAATACAACCATTTAAGGCTAGGAACCAATCTGGTGAATCTCAACTGTACTACCTCCCTGTATAGCTATTCTTAGATATAGATATTAAACTGTACTTGGTTCTCCAGCTGACGTCTCACCATTATCCTGTACAATTGTAGGAGGAGTTCCTTATTCTTGCATTTCAACTCCCTTGCAGTAAATGGCAATATGCACTTTGCCTTATTAATTGCCTCCCGTACCCACATGCCAGCTTCTTGTGTTCCTTATATGACTATGCCCAAATCTGTCTGAATATTAATATTTAAATGTTTTGTGAATTTTACAAACATTGTTTTTCTATTCTGATGATCAACATGAGTGACCTTGCATTTCCCCATATTCCTATCTATATCTCTTCTCAGCCTCTATATATCCTCCCCACAGGTTACATTCCACCCAGCTTTGTATCATCTGAAAACATGGATACATTATACTTGGTTTCTTCATCTAAATCATTAAGAAATGTTGGAAATAGCTTAGGCTACCAATAATGACACTACTCCTGACTACTAGCCAACTTGAAAATGTTCTGTTCTCACACATAAAAATGTGTAGAAGAGGTCACAGCCCAGGGACAGGTAATGTTGTGATGCTTAGAGATGATGAAAGAGTTGGAGTGGGCCAATTATTGGATACAGAGCAGCTTATAGGAATGTGGTTTATTGCCAGGAATTAGAAAGAGTCAGGAGGCAGAGATCAAGGCTTCAGTGGAGGTTTCTGGGCTTGGTGATCATGGATGTGATATTGGGAAGGAGAAAGGTTAGTTTGGGATGCAAGAGCAAAATACTTCCTGCTTCTTCTGACTCAGAAGCAATTTTAGCAGGGCACTTAGCTCTTGCACATTGCACTTTTTCTCTCTGAGATAGATTTTTAAGGTTCGGAAACACTGTCAGCTGGATCAAGTTCAAAATGAAGACAAATTCTGGAGCAAAGACAACAGTGTGGAGCTGGATGAACACAGCAGGCCAGGCAGCATCAGGAGAGCAGGAAATTTGATGTTTTGGGTCAGGACCCTTCTTCAGAAAACCCAAAATGTCAACTTTCCTGCTCCTCTGATGCTGCCTGGCCAGCTCCAAACTGTGTTGTCTCTGACTCCAGCATGTGCAGTTCTTGCTATCTACAAATTCTGGAGCACTAGGTCTCATTAAAATATTTAAATGATGAACTCATCTCCTGAGAAGAGATTGGTTTTCTACCACAGTTAAAACCGGAAGTGGGGGAATTGGATTCATATTTGAGCTTTTACATTTTTTTTACACACAAACCTACCCAAATTCAATTGGTTTAGCAGGTTAAAATTCCCCTCATGTTGTCAGTGGTGTATGTTAAGAGTGGTATTTTGGAAATGCAGTAAATCAACAGTGAACTGGAAATATATAAACTGCAATTTGCTGAAATTGAAGATAGCTGCCCTGCTGTTGTAAGGGGACCTTAAAATCAATTAATATTTTAATTTTGTTTGATCTGTTTTATTTAAACTTATCAATTCATACAGTGTTAATGTACATTTTAATGTGCCTTTTTTTTAAAATTCCCAGATCTAAATTCTGTACTCATTTATGAGATTTTACCAGGATCTGGATATGATGCATTCAGAATAAACCCTAAAACTGGCATCATCACCACAACACAAGTACTGGATAGAGAAATGCAAGAATATTTTGTGATTAAAGGTAGGAAGCTGTATAATTAGTGTATGCCAATTAGACCATTTCCTCTTATTTGTTAATACATTTTATATAAGATATATATAAAAATAAATTAGTTGTGACAGTGAATTTAAGAGAGGCACAGCAAGTTGTTCAGAACTTTTCAAAACAGAAATTAACTTGTTTGAAAGTCACACTAGAATTTGGTTCATATATTTAATCTTCTTGTTAATGTATTAAAATATTAGTGGCATTGCAATCTAAATCATTTATATTACTATGTATTAATCAGCCAAAGAAACATTGATATTCAGATAGCTGGTGCAGCTTTTTGAATATCTCTGCTATCTGTGTTACATGTAGTTTTGGTCCGAGACAGTGGGACCACATGTCTATCTGACACAACTACAATCACGGTGACTGTGTTGGATGAAAATGACCACCAGCCTGAATTCATGCCACATTTACATGAGCTGCATATTTTGGAGAATATGGATCCAGGAGTAATTTATGCACTCATGGCTTTGGACAAGGATGCTGGGAACAATGGACTTGTTAGATATGAAATCATTGGTAAGCTGAGATTGCTAATTTTTAGATTATAAATGTACAAGTGAATCATAGAATAATTAGGTAATTGAAGAGCAGAAAGAAGATATTGCATGCATTCTCCTGATTGTCCACCATACTTTTGATAAAGGAACCTCAGAATCCTCAGACAATGTTGAAAATGATGTTCACGCTATCCTTCCAATATTGCTGTGGTTTTTCCACCATGTTCCTGAAATCTTTGTTTGTTTGAGTTGTTTGTAACTAGTTTTCAGTGAGACAACACAGTGAAGTGCCTTTTGAAAATGCCTACACTCTTGATTTTCTAAATTCCCGTTACCAACCAACTATAACTTGAAAAAATTTCAACTAAATTTTTCAAGTATAAAATGTCCTATAAATTCATGCTTCTGGGCTTTCATTAACGCATGCATTTATTTATATGTACTGACGAATAGTGGATATTAGAGATCAATTTCAGCTTTTTGGTGGTAGACTGACAGTGTGTGCCTGCTACGTGCTCATGCCTGTGCAAATAGGCCCTCGCAGTGTTGAGACTAAGGCTTCATTTTGATGAGGACAGTAACCTGCGAATGCTAAATTGGTATCCCACAACTTCAGATGTGCGGACTGGAATTTATGGAGGAGAGGGGTGGCAAGGCCGAGGGTGGATCTTGAGGCACTACTCTGAAGCTCTTAAAATTACTTTCAAACTTACCTTCTTGGAGCCCCTTTGGCTCTGCTTTCCATGCAACTGATCTGAAAGTGCACTGGACATTCTCTGACCAGTTGCAACCTAAAATAGCAGTCTAATTTGCATATTGAAAGGATTTTAATGACAGAAGCAATTAGACTTTTAGGGGTACAGTGGTAGATCAATGCCAAAATGAGGCCAGCCCATTTCCTGCGGCCACTTTTTCTTTACCCAGTTAGCGCTGACCTTAGGCATCATGGATTTTAAAGGTTTGTATTAGACAGACTGATTTGTAGTTACAAAAACAGAAGTTGCTAGAAAAGCTCAGCGGGTCTGGCAGCATCTGTGAAGAAAAATCAAGGTTAATATTTTGGGTCCGGTTACCGTTCCTCAGAACACCGGACCCGAAACGTTACGTCTGATTTTTCTTCACACATGCTGCCAGACCTGCTGAGCTTTTCCAGCAACTTCTGTTTTTGTTCCTGATTTATAGCATCCGCAGTTCTTTCGGGTTTGATTTGTAGTTATCTGATTTATCAAATTGTGCCCTTTTTTTCCAGGTAGTAATTTTACTGATGCATTCAGAATTGATTCCATTTCTGGAACACTTGCTACGACTAGAGGCTTGGACAGAGAAGAATTTAATAATTTTTCTCTTACCATAGAAGCTCATGACCTTGGTAATCCACAAAGAATCTCTCAGGCAGAAATTTGGATTACTATCTTGGATGAAAATGATAATAGTCCAGTGTTTGAAAAAAATTATTACTATACTTCTGTGAATGAAGATATTCCTATTGGATCAAGTGTTTATCAGTTGATTGCTACTGACAAAGATGATGGCTTCAATGGAGAAATTGCTTACTCCCTAATTGATGATACATTTGGAGCATTTACTATTAACAGCAACACTGGCATCATTGTGACAACAAATCAATTGGATAGAGAGACTAAATCACAATATGCCTTCCGAGCAGTGGCAAGTGATTACAGCATTCAAAATCCAAAAAGTACTACAGTTAATGTAATGATACATATTGAAGATGCAAATGATAATTTCCCAATTTTTATACAAAATCCAGTCATTGCATATATTACTGTCGACACTCAGATCAGCCATATTATTGCCACTATGAAAGCTGATGATAAGGATTTGGGGCAAAACGGCACTGTCACGTTCCAGATTTTGGAACATGATTCATTGTTTGCAGTGAATAATACTACAGGTGACATTTACCTTAAAACATCACTATCCCAGAGTCATTTTGATAGAAATCATCTGTCTGTTGTTGCGATAGACCAGGGTAACCCAGCTAGATTGTCGACTGGGCTTGTGCTTATACATCGGCAAATAGAAAAAGGAATTTGGTTTAGTCGTAATAAATATGAGATCACAGTTCCTGAAAACGTCAAATCAGGTGAGTAGGTACCTTATCATTTTGTGTCTCAATTACATCAGTAAGAATAGTTTATCTTGTAGTTGTGTAATTCCCATTTCCATATTTAAGTTTCCAAATGTTCTATAGCCATGACAGCCTGTATGTTTTTTACACGATTCTTTTCAGAAAAGTTGAGGTTGTGGTACCTGGTTGCATAAGATATCTCCCAAAGTGTTTCTTCCGATTTTTGCCAGAAATAATGATAATTGTCAGACATGTACCAAAAAGATGTTTGCTTTCTGTCCAAATGTTGTTTGGTATCGTTAGCCCAAGACTCATCTCCTTTGCATGTGGCCTTAGTTGAAAGACAGTGATAATGAAGAAAATGTTTATACTCTCTGTTAAACCATCTATTCAAATTGTTGAAAGAGGTGCCTGTAGTGACCGTTGATGTATTGGTGATCACCTTCAAAAATTCTATAGATTCTGGAACTATTTCTGACTGCTGAAAGGTTGCAAATGTAACCCAACTATTTAAGAAAAAGAAGTTTTAAGAAAGTGAGGAGCTATAGACCTGTTGGCCTGTTATCTACATAAGAAAATGCGAGCATCTTCTGTAAAGAATGTTTTAATTTAACAGTTGGAAAATTATGGCAGTTAATATGGATTTATGAAAGGGAATTCATTTTTGACAAACCTGCTAAGAGTTTTTTGAGGATGTGATGAACGATAATAGATAAAGGAAAACACATAATAAGTTTGGAGCTCAGAAGGGTTTTGATAAGGTGATGGTAAGCAGAATTCAGACACATAAAAATGGGTTAATAAATTTATATGGATTGAGAATTGGTTAATGGACAGACAAAATTGAATAGGAATGTATGTGTCATTCTCAGTTTCCCAGAATCTGTCCAGTGGGTTTACAAGGATCACTGCTTGAGCCCCACCTGTTGATAGTCTACATCAATGATTTGAATGTGGGATCAAATGTAATATTTCCAGTTTGCTGCTGACACAAAATGATTGGGAGTGTGAGTTGTGAGGAGGATGCAAAGAGGCTTCAAGGTGATTTAAAGTTTTGGCAAAGATCTGTAGTTCGGGTTGTGGATGAGATTGTTGACTTGCTCGCCGAGCTGGCTTATTTTTGTTCAGACATTTCGTCACCATGCTAGGTGACATCATCAGTGGACCCTCCGATGAAGCGATATTATTCAACTCTGCTTGGAATTTATATTGTCCAGTCCATTATGGTGAGTATTATCATTTCTGGTTTTGATCTGTATGGGTTTGTATATGGGGTCCAATTCTATATGTTTGTTGATCGAAGTATGGGTGGAGAACCATGTGAAGCAATGTTATTCTACTCCGCTTGGAATTTATACCGTCCGGTCCAATTTGGTGAGTGCTGTCATTTCTGGTTTTGATCTGTATGGGTTTGTATATGGGGTTAAATTCCATATGTTTGTTGATTGAAGTATGGGTGGAGAACCATGTGAGGGAGAGGCTGCACTTCTGAGAAGAGCATGCAGCAGTGATCTTCGCTGGATTCTGCCATGCCGATCTCTCCATTGGCACAGGATTAGTCTTGGTCCTCATTTGCCACCTGGACTGCATCTGCTTCAGAAGAAGTGAGGATGTGAAGATCATCAATTTCTCTGCCAGTCCGGGCCTTCTTCATTGTCTAGTATTGAGCTCTGGCCTGCAGCAAGTGAAGTGATGCTTGGGTGACTTTTAAATGTAACACCATAACTTTAAAGCCCAGAATGTGCAGGTAAGACAAGAACCTCCATTCGCCAGCTGCATGTGATTTGCCATTTAAGTCACCATCAAATTCCTTTACATACAAAACAAACTGAGAAATGATTGATTGCTCCAAAAAACTTGTCACAAATCAGAGCAAAAGTCTGGCTTTCCCTGCAAGTCCTGGAGTTTTGACATGTTCCTTTGATAGATTTAGGTTTTATTGTCAAGTGTACTCGAATACAGGAGTGCAGTGAAAGTGTACAAAGTCACCATTCTCCAGCGCCTTCTTCGTATGAAAAAGACAGGATTAAAAACAGAAGCAAAAAATAAAAAAAACAGCCAAAAAAAAGGAAACATGTAGATTACTCGCTGCCTCGGCCATGAATCCTCGCCGCCAGAAGAACAAAGCCACAAAGAGGCTAGGGGTAGGCGATGGCCTAGTGGTATTATCGCTAGACTACCAATCCAGAAACCCAGCTGATGTTCTGGGGACCCAGGTTTGAATCCCACCACAGCAGATGGTTGGAATTTGAATTCAATAAAGACGTCTGGAAGTAAGAATCTACTGATCACCACGAAATCATTGCCAATTGTCGGAAAAACCCATCTGGTTCACTCATGCCCTTCAGGGGAGGAAATCTGCCATCCTCACCTGGTCTGGCCTACATGTGACTCCAGACTCACAGCAATGTGGTTGACTCTCAGCTGCCCTCTGAAATGGCCTATCAAGCCTCTCAGTTGTACCAATCGCTACAAAGACACAAAGAAATGAAACTGGATAGATCACCTGGTATCGATCTAGGCACCGGAAAAGACAACAGTAGAAACGGCCCTGTCGACCCTGCAAAGTCCTCCTCACTAACATCTGGGAATTAGTGCCAAAATTGGGAGAGCTGTCTCACAGACTAGTTAAGCAACAGCCTGACATAGTCATACTCACAGAATCATACCTTACAGACAATGTCCCAGACATCACCATCCCTGGATATGTCCTGTTCCACCAGCAGAACAGACCCAGCAGAGGTGGCAGCACAGTCGTAAATAGTCGGGAGGGTGTTGCTCTAGGATTCCTCAACATTGACTCTGGACCCCATGAAGTCTTCAGGTTAAACATGGGCAAGGAAACCTCCTGCTGATTGCCACGTACTGTCCTCCCTCAGCTGATGAATCAGTACTCCTCCATGTTGAACAACACTTAGAGGAAGCACTGAGGATGGCAAGCGCACAAAATGTACTCTAGGTGGGGATCTCAATGTCCACCATCAAGAATGGCTCGGCAGCAGTACTACTGAACGAGCGAGTCGGTTCCTAAAGGACATAGCTGCTAGACTGGGTCTGTGGCAGTCGGTGAGGGAACCAACAAAAGGGAAAACATACTTAACCTCATCCTTTCATCTGTCCATGACAGTATCGGTAAGAGTAACCATCGCACAGACCTTGTGGAGACGAAGTCCTGCCTTCACTTTAAAAACAACTTCCATCATGTTGTGTGGCACTATCACCGTGCTAAATGGAACAGACCTCGCACAGATCTAGCAACTCAAGACTGGACATCCATGTGGTGCTGTGAGCCATCAACAGCAGCAGAATTGTATTCCAGCACAATCTGCAATCTCATGGCTGGGCATATCCCCCACTCAACCATTACCATCAAGCCAGGGGATCAACCCTGGTTCAATAGAGAGTGCAGGAAGGCATGCCAGGAGCAGCACCAGGCATACCTGAGGAAAAGAACCAACGGATCAGATCTGAGCTCTGCAGTCCTGCCACATCCAGTCATGAATGGTGGTGGACAATTAAACAACTCACTGGAGGCGGAGGCTCCTCAAATATCCCCATCCTCAATGATGGAAGAGCCCAGCACATCAGTGTAAAAGATAAGGCTGAAGCATTCACAGCAATCTTCAGCCAGAAGTGCCGAGTGGATGATCCATCTCGGCCTCCTCCAGTGGTCCCCAGCATTACAGATACCAGTCTTCAGCCAATTCGATTCGCTCCATGTGATATCAAGAAACAGTTGGAGACTCGTGCTCCAGAACTTGCCACTTCCCTAGCCAGGCTATTCCAGCGCAGTTACAACACTGGTATCTACCCAACAATGTGGAAAATTGCCCAGGTATGCCCTCTACACAAAAAGCAGGACAAATCCAACCCGGCCAATTACCGCCCCATCAGTCTCCTCTCGATCATCAGTAAAGTGATGGAAGGTGTCATCAACAGTGCTATCAAGCAGCACCTGCTCAGAAATAACCTGCTCAGTGACACCCAGTTTGGGTTCTGCCAGGGCCACTCAGCTCCTGATCTCATTGCAGCCTTGGTTCAAACATGGGCAAAAGAGCTGAATTCCAGGGGTGAGGTGAGAGTGACAGCCCTTGACATCAAGGCTGCATTTGACCAAGTGTGGCATCAAGGAGCCCTAGCAAAACTGGAATCAATGAACATCAAGGTGCAAACTCTCTGGTGGTTGAAGTCATACCTGACACATAGGAAGATGATCGTGGTTGTTGGAGGCCAATCATCTCAGCTCCGGAACATCTCTGCAGGAGTTCGTCAGTGTAATATCCTAGGCCCAACCATAGGTCATAGAATCCCTACAAAATGGAAACGGGCCATTCGGCCCAACAAGTCCACACCGCCCCTCCGAAGAGAATCCCACCCAGACCCATTCCCTTACGCTTGTATTTCCCATGTCTAACCCACCTAACCTACGGGCAATTTAGCATAGCCAATCCACTTACGCTGCACATCTTTGGATTGTGGGAGGAAACCGGAATACCCGGAGGAAACCCACGCAGATGTAGGTAGAATGTGCAAACTCCACACAGACAGTTGCCCAAGGTTTGAATTGAACCCGGATGCCTGGCGCTGTGAGGCAACAGTGCTAACCACTGAGCCACCCTGCCGACCCATCTTCAGCTGTTTCATCAATGACCTTGTCTCCATCATAAGGTCAGAAGTGGGGACGTTCGCCGATGATTCCACCATGTTCAGCGCCATTCTTGACTCCTCAGATACTGAAGCAGTCCATGTTCACATACAACAAGATCTGGGCAATATCCAGGCTTGTGCTGACAAGTGACAAGTGACATTCATGCCACAGAAATGCCAGGTTATGACCGTCACCAATAAGAGACAATGTAACCACCGTCCCTTGACATTCAATGGTGTTACCATCACTGAATTCCCCACTATCAACATGCTGGGGATCACCATTGACCAGAAACTTAACTGGATTCACCACATTAACACAGTGGCTACAAGAACAGTCCAGAAGCTAGGAATACTGCAGTGAGTAACTCACCTCCTGACTCCTCAAAGCCTGTCCACCATCTACAAGGCACAAATTAGGAATGTGATGGAATACTCCCCACTTGCCTGAATGAGTGCAGCCCCAACAACACTCAAGAAGCTTGACACCATCCAGGACAAAGCAGCCCACTTGATTGGCACTACATCCACAAGCATTTACTCCCTCCACCACTGACGCTGAGTAGCAGCAGTGTGTACTATCTACAAGATGCACTGCAGCAATTCACCAAAGATCCTCAGACAGCATCTTCCAAACCCACAATCACTTCCATCTAGAAGGACAAGGGCATCAGACATGGGAACACCACTAACTCCAAGTTCCCCTCCAAGTCACTCACCATCCTGACTTGGAAATAAATTGCCATTCCTTCACTGTCGCTGGGTCAAGTTCCTGGAATTTCCTCCCTAATAGCATTCTGGGTCAACCCACAGCAGGACGACTGCAGTGGTTCAAAAAGACAGCTCACCACCACCTTCTCAAGGGCAACTAGGGATGGGCAAGAAATGCTGGCCATCCAGCGACGCCTAAATCCCACAAATGAAAAGTCCATCCCTCAGTCTGCAAACACTCAGGTGCCCTGAGACCCTGTATACTGCTGCAGCCAGAATGTTACTGCCTCTTGGTCCAGCCATGGCCTGAAGCTGCGCCACAGCTGCTGGAACTGTTGCCATTCTTTGGTGCCATCTTGCCTCCAACAACGTCATCGTTGCCATGATTCCGCACTGGGCACATTTCGGCAATGCAGCTGTCGCTGAAGTTGCTGGATCCCAAACTGGGCTCAAACTTGATGCTGGGCCCACCGCACCACTGTTGCCAGTGCCTCTTCTGGCTTATGTCATTGCTGCCTCTCGGGGCCATCATTTCAGCAAAGAAGCGCACTGTTGCCAATCCCCCGGGAAGGAGCTGCTCCTGCCACTGTCAGCACTCCAGGAAGGAGCTGCTCCTGTCGCTGTCAACATGCTGGGGGACTGCTATCATTGCCACTGACTCTCCTGGGAATGGGACTGCTCCCGCTGCTGCTGACGCTCCCAGGAATGGGACTGCCCCCGCCATTGCTGACACTCCAGGATGGCGACCATGCCCACTGAGAAGGGGGAAAAAAAAGAGCAAAAGTAAAGGAAGGAGACAAAAAAGAAAGGCAGACAGAAGTGCATGAGCCCTGAGATCAGGATCCAGGCCCGAACACTGCTACCCCACTGACATCATCGTGGAATAATCTTGATAGGGCCTCAACCCAGAAGTCAGCCTGATTGACAAATTTGGATTCTAGTTTTGCAGGAAGCAATCCTTAGGTACATGCCTTGTTGCTGCTGGTGGAAACATTGCAAGTTATAATTCCAATCCCTGAACCCAGCTATAGGGTATTTTAAGCAGTGGAGTTATATGAATTTAGTGTAGTTCCATGTGTGTCCTCAGCTACTGGGTTTTGCTAGCCTTTGAAAAACCTTGCCAACTAGGATTAAAACTGAAAAATAATTTAAAGCAGAAATCACTAGTCTCATCAAAATACAATTGGGCACCCTGCCTTCTGGAAGAGGTTCGCTGCCAGCCCCTTTCCCATCCTTCCCACCACCCAAGTGGTGAATTGGTTTGGTTTTGAGATTTTTTTCTCATCGCATCCACCTATTTTTGTGGGTTAAGATTCAGGCTATTATTCCCGCATGCATATAAATACACAGTAACGGTAAATAGTTTAGGCTTTTGGCTTTAGGCTTTTGTTCCTTAATCTTATCTATATTAGAACTGTGGTATTCATACCTTGTAATTTTTGTCACAAGGGGGAGCTTTAATATGGTAGTGTGAATATCAAAATGCAATGCTTTCCAACAAACACTTTTGTTCGATACAGTATTAGATTTCCTGTATTTTGCACAACCGCACCTTATTTCATGATACAGTAATTCTCATGTGCAACTTTTCCCCTAGAAAGTTACTCAGTGCAAGATAGACTGCAACAGAACATATAAGGAGGCTACTAAGGACTTGTAGGATAGATTAAGCAAGTCAGCAAAGATATGGCAAATAGAGTATAATGAGGGAAAAGGTGAAATAGTCTACTTTGACAGGAAGAATAAAAAAGAAGCACATTATCTGAATGTAAGGGATTGCAAAGTTCTGAAATGCTGAGAGATCTGGGTGTCCTAGGGCATGAGCCACAGAAGGTGAGCAAATAATTGCAAAAACTAATAGAACGTTATTGTTTTGTGTAAGGAAAGTTGAATACAAAAGTAAGGAGATTATGTTTCTCTTATACAGGGCATTGGTTAGGCCACCCCTGGGATATTGTGTGTTGTATTGGTTTCCTTATTTAAGGAAGCATATAATACATTGGAAGCAGAGAACATTTATTAGACTAATACCCAGAATGAGAGGGCTGCCTTTTGAAGATGGACTGGCTTGTATCTACTGGAGTTTTGACAGGTTTAATGTAGAAGGATGGTTCCTTTTGTTGGAAAAGCTAGAACTAGAGGTCACTGTTTGATAATCACTCACTTAAGACTGGGATAAGGAGAATCTTCTTGTCAAAGTTTTGAGAGTTTTGAAACGCTCCTTCTGAAAAGGTGGTGGAAGCAGAGTCCTTGAATATTTTTAAGGCAAAGGTGCTAAGTAAAAGGATGAAAGGTTTCACAGGTAGGCAGGCTTGTAATCAGATCAACATGATCTTATTGAACGACACATTAGGCTTGAGGCATCAAGTAGCCAGCTCCTTCTCCTTGTTTAAATGTTCATAACATTTCAGGTGTGCTGGTTTCATATATAATTATGGATTCTATGTTATTCTATGTGAAAACTTAGTGCTGCACTTCTTGCTCCACTTAAGAAAGCTGCTTTGAGCCCTTTGACGGGTAGGGGATTTGTTAATATTGGTATATCTGCAAGGCACTGTTCTAACAATGTTTGACATAATTACAAATTACTAAAGATCCATGTTGGACAACCAATTCCAATGATCCATCATTTTTTTGCAGCAGTAATTGTTCTTCCTTTGTATAGGCACACTGGTTTTGAGTGTCATGAATCAAGACTACAACACGAATGGAGTCACTTACAGCATTTTTAGTGGGAATGAAAATGAAGCATTCCACATAGATTCAGAAACTGGTAAGAAGAATTACTTGTTTAGCCTACAATTCTGTATTTAATGTGTATGAATATTCTGGACTTAAACTGATGGAAGCGTGGGAATTTTAACCTAACCAGACCATCAGGAAATTGAGTGGGTTAGGTGCATAGCTGGTTTTATAGACTGGTTGATTTTACTCTTCATTAAAGTAAATATAGATTAATACTGGGCAGTGTGTAAAACCAGCATTTCCCACCTGCAATAGGGTTAGGGTTAGGGATAACAGAGTGTAGAGCTCTGTGGGAGGAATGGAAGGAAAAGTTGTTAAGGGTGAGGACGAGTTCAGCTAAGCTCCCACTTCCTACAGACAAATGGGGTGGCCATGGGTACCCGCATGGGCCCAAGCTATGCATGCCTCTTTGTAGGATACGTGGAACAATTCCTCTTCCAAAGCTACACTGGCCCTATCCCCCACCTCTTCCTCCGTTACATCGATGACTGTACCGGCGCCGCCTCGTGCTCCCACGAGGAGCTCGAACAGTTCATCCACTTCACTAACCCCTTCCACCCCAACCTTAAGTTCACCTGGACCATCTCCGATACCTCTCTCTTCTTCTTGGACCTCTCCATTTCCATCTCTGGCAACCACCTGGAAACCGACATCCATTTCAAGCCTGCCGACTCCCACAGCTACCTAGAGTACACCTCCTCTCACCCACCTTCCTGGAAAAAGGCCATCCCCTATTCCCAATTCCTTCGCCTCTGCCACATCTGCTCCCGAGATGAGACATTCCACTCC